CACACGGAGGGCATTAAGTGATAGCCCTCTCAATAGTGCAGCCAGTGAACCAAGTCAGCCTCCAAGGAATGCTACCTCACACCCAATCTGATACCCTCGACGCGCCTGGTCACATGTCATGCCTGACTGGCCACCCCCCCCATCCCAGCTCCCCAACATTTTGTAAGGTGCAGCTTATCTCTACCATCAGCTGCTTCACTATAAAGTATGCGGGACACCTTGAGATGAGCATGTGGTCTGAATGAGCTGTGGGAAAGGACTTCCAAGACCCAGAAAGCGCATCTCAGAGGTCACACCAGTGTCAATTCCACTGCAGTCTTCCCAGCTCTCAGCACAGCATCCTCACACCTGGACCCACGAGTAGCTTCCCACAGGGCCTCCTCTTCCCAGTGCTTGCCTCCTCCTATCCAAACTACCCACACTGCATTCCCATTGGGCCAGTCTCCAAAGATTCCTCTCACCATTGTATCCATCAGAAGTCCTTACTGCCGCCCCCACTCATGGAATAAAGTCAAAATTCCTGAGGCTGATGCTGGAGACTGTCCATAATCTGGTTGCAACCTCCCATCTGATTTTTTTTTTTTTTTCTGAGTCAGAGTCTCACTCTTTCACAAACCAGGCTCCAGGGCAGTGGCATGATCACAGCTCACCACAGCCTCAACCTCCTGCGCTCAGGCAATCCTTCTACCTCAGCCTTCTGAGTAGCTAGGACTACAGGCTTGTACCATCATACCCGGCTAATTTTTTTATTTTTATTTTTTTGTAGAGACAAGGTCTTGCTATGTTGTCCAGGCAGGTCTCGAACTCCTAGGCTCAAGCAGTCCTCTCCCCTTAGACTTCCAAAGTACTGAGATAACAGTCATGGGCCACCGTACCCGGCCTTATCCAGCCTAGACTTCTCTTCCTCAAGCATTCCCCAGTCCAGCCTGACAGTCCACGAAATGTCCAGCGCCTCCCCTCAACACATGCATTCCCTGGCCATGAGGACTCTCTCTCCTCTTTCTCTACCTAGAAAACTCTGCCAGATTAGACTCACTTCCTTGAGGGAGCCTCTCCTGATGAGAGGCCCCTGCAGCCTCCCAATGCATGAAAAACCATCTAATTCCTGTGCCCATCACCTCTACCATCATCACAGAGCTCATCGTCTGTGTTTACAGCAATCAATGCAGATCTATTAACATCTCATCTAGCTGCTAAGCTCTTATAGGAACAGTTCTCAAGCTCAAGTGTAAGTCAGAATCACCATTTGATGTCAGGCCCTACCTCCAGGTTTTTGATTTGGTTCGTCTGGGGTAGAGCCCTGGTGCCATGCGTTCACGGACAGGTAGAATTGAGAGCCACCACCTTTGAGGAAGGGGCTGGGCTGGTGAACCTCTTTATCCCACTCTTGAGGTTTACAGAACCCCTTAATCAGTCACTGGCTCACAGAACTGGCTAATCCAATAACCCCCTCAGGCTGAGCCATCACAGAAAATCTTGGCTCCTACTGCACCTTGGCCAGGCCTCCTCATTCAAGGTTAAACGTTGGTACTCCATCTTGCTTTCCTGAGAAACAGTCAGTATGTCAATTCCACTTCCTTGAAAATGATATTTTCTCTTTTTTTTGAGTTGGAGTCACCCAGGCTGGAGTGCAGTAGCACACTCACAGCCATCAGCCTGCTAGGTTTCAGCAAGCTATCCGACTCAGCCTTCCAAGTAGCCAGAACTACCACGCCCAGCTAATTTTTTATTTATTGTAGAGACAGGGCTCACCAAGTTGCCTGGGCAGGTCTCGAACCCGCGACCTCAGGCAATCCACTCGTCTCAGTCTCCCAAAGTGCTGGGTTGAGCCACCAAGCCTAGCAGCCATGATCTTTTCATCTTTGCACAACACATTTCAAGGGTGAAATGATGAGTTGCAAGAACAGCCACCAGGGAAGGCAGATTGTGCTTGGAAATACGAAAGGAATTCACCCAGAGCTACGCTGGCCACAGCAAGCAACGCCATGGTTGCCAAATGGAAGGCAGGCCTAGAGGGTAAGAGGGGTGCTGGAGGTGGGCTGATCTGCAATTCCAGCAGCAGGAGGTCTCAACTCCAGAGACAGGAAAAGTAGTCCATGTTGAATGCCCTGGGGGGAAAAAAATCACCTTTTCTGATGTATATTAAAGATGAATAGTCTTCTATAAAGTGCCATTTGAGGTTGGGTACAGTGGCTCACAGTGGCTCACACCTGTAATCCCAGCACTTTGGGAGTCCGAGGCAGGAGGATCACCTGAGCCCAGGAGTTTGAGACCAACCTGGGCAACACAGCGAGACTTTGTCTCTAAAAAAAAATTTTTTTTTAATTAAACAGGCATGGTGGCACACACCTACACTTGTCATGCCAGCACTTGGGAGGCTGAGGAGGGAGAATCACCTGATCCCAGGAGATTGAGGCTGTGATGAGCCATGATCGGCCACTGCACACCTGGGAGACAGAGAAAGACCTTCTCTCCCACCGACCCCCATATATATATATATTCATTCCAGGTCCCCTGTTCCATACCATACTCTTCAACCCTAGGAGAAAACCAGAAGCCTATTTCCGAAGAGAGTCTCCATCCTGGGAAAAAGTAAAAGCAGCTGAGGCAGGGGGTCCACACTGAAAGGGGGCATACATGACACCCCAAGTGTGCACAGCTGCATAGTGAGACCACTCATCTCTCTCCTCTTGCCTGGCTCCAGGACACTAAATAAGGACTGGACAAAGAGAAAAGTCCTTAAGACACAGATGTAGGAGTGTCCCCAACAGAAATGGCACCACCAGACCACCCTGTATTCAAGGCCACAGTCAGCAAGCCCACCTCTAGGCACAAAGTTTCCCATTGACTTTTTAAAGCTCTTACAAATGACAGAAAGCCAAGGATCACCAGACAATTGAAGAAAAACTAATATGAATTCAAGATCAAACAACAAATGCAAAAATAAAAAACTTGGAGAAAACAAAGGTTGTGTGAAAAAATAAAATGTTACCAAAAGTCTCAATAAAAGAGTTAAGTAAAGATACTCCATGCAAGAAACAAGATCAGGATACAGCCAAAATAAGGAATTGAGAACCAAAAAGGAGGAGCTATTAGAAATTCAAAATAAGATAGCAGAAATGAAAAACTCAACAGAAAAGGCAAACTATAAAGTTGAGGAAATCTCCCAAGAAATAAAACTAAAAAAAGAAAAAAAGTTAAGAATTGAA